TGGCTGAAAACTCCCTCACAGACAGTGCCATGTACGTTGCTGTTGAAAGAGCCATGAATTGGTGAAAAGTTCAGGTCATGTAACGTTTTCATGCAACCTTTTCAGCACTTCCTAATAGTAAATTAGTTAACTGTCCAATTGCTACAAATTCTTAATGAATAATTCCTCTGGTATCAAAAAAGATAAACAACATTTTTGCAACAAGTTCCCAGAGTTAATTGTTGGGCCTCATACATGCCAAATGATTTTAGACCAGAGAGAAAAGTTTACATCAAAAGTATTTGCATCATATCAATTATACTCAATGTAAGTGTTAGAAGAAAAAATAGAAAAAGATGTATCTGTATAGCCTATCGCTTTGGCAGAGTCTCCAGACCGTTAGTTCCATTGTTACATTAGAGAAATGTTTTGGGCCAGATGAGCTGTTAACAATTAACCCCAGGGAGCATGTGAAACAGGTCACAGGATCTGCACATGGAGGCAGGCGGAGCTGATATGGCTGAGAGTGTGACGGAGGCTGGGCCAGAGTGACAGTGCGCTGTGTCCTTTCCCGTCAGACTCCTTCTGCACCTGCTTCCCTCCCTGACTGGGAGTCTTCACCTGCCACCACGTAATTTTACATTTTCTTTTTTTAAATAGGGATATAATTTACATGAACTAAAATCACACCTTTTAGTGAACAGTTCCGTGCATTTTGACAAGTGCATGCAGAGGAGTAAGCACTTCCATCATCATGATTTGTAACTGTTCCGTCATTGTCCATAAATTCCTAGGCCCTTTGCTGTCAGACCCTTCTGTACCCTGACTCCTGACAACTGATCAATTTTCTGTCCCTAGAGCTCGGTCTATGTATGAATGTCACAGAAATGGGATCATAAGAAGAAGCCTTTTGGTTCTGGCTTCTGTCACTGCACACAATGAACTTGAGATCCGTCTGTGTTGTTGGACGTTAATAGTTCTTTCCATGTGCATTGCAGAGTGAAATTCCATTGCACAGACGAACCACAGGGAGCTTTTCCAATCCCCAGTTACTAACATCACAGGTGTTTCCAAGTATCATAATTTGTCAATTTTACATAAAACCTTTGTAACATTTACTATAGGTTTCTGTGTGGACATAGTTTTCATTTCACTCAGATATTCACCTGGGAATGGAATTGGTGGTCATATTTTAGATAAATGTGCAAAGTTCAATGATACTGACAAACTGTTTCCAAAAATGGATGCTTGATTTTGCATGTTCATGATTACCAAGAAAATGAGTTCATGAACTCATCCTAGAAAAGGGCTACATAACTTATTGCTGAATATCACTAAGGTCACCTTTGAAGCACTCCGCCTGGGAAGCTACACAACCGATGTCAGCGACTAGTCCTCCCTTCAAAACAATTTTGGAACTCTTTTTTGGAATGGCCATCCAAGCTGTCGTCATATTACCGTAGATGTTCTGAATGTCATCAAAATGTCTTCCTTTCAATAGTTCATTTATCTTCAGGTGAAGAAAGAAGTCATTGGAAGCCTGGCAGGTGAGTAGGGAGAGTGTTCCAATGGATTTACAAGTATTTGTTTACTGGGGGAAAACTCCCTCACAGACAGTGCAGTGTGAGTTGATGTATTGTTATGATGCAAGAGCCATGAATTGT